AAAGTGTTATTTGTATATTATGTGGAGATTTTGGATAATTATTGATTAATGCAGGTATTATTATTTATTATTATCATTATTATTATTTTTTTCGTACACTGGAGTCTGTTGGGGATTTATGAGGAACAGTTTAGGAACAGTTCTTCATTGTTTTAGTTAGTATGTTCAGAATCTGAAGTTTCATTCAAATCCTGACATTGTTCAAGTCAGTTTAAACACTTATACGTGGCTTTAGTTATGGGTTTGACAAAATTTTATTTATCAATTTTTCTGATTGTTTGGCAATTGATTGCTTAATAAGCAGCTGTATTTTGGCTCTATCTGTAAGTGTTTTTGCGCTTGAGTGTTTTTACGTATTTTTGCCAACGTTTTTGGGTGCAAGTAAATTTCTTCTGTACCAGTGACGCGTGCACCGCCATAAATATTAGTCACAATTGATACTTTTTGCTCACTGAGGGCTTTAGGTCATCAACACAACTGCATATGTGCTGCATTTTTATAGGGAATTCTTATTTTTTCTTTTCGTTCAGCTTCTAATGATTGCCGGAAGCTTAGTTTAAAGGAACTGTTTTTGATTTTTTAGTAAGAGGGAGAAAGTAATTGTTATAGTGAGATACTGTTGACGTTAAACGAAAAGCCACTCTCATTACCATAGGAAGGAAGTCATCGAGTACTCTTCATAAAGTGAAAATAACCAAATACTTAAAAGTTCACCTTTTTAATTTTTCTCTCATTAACTTCTTGAATATAAAATTATTTTCTGTAGCTGTGTTCCTGGCTCGAAAAATACAAGTGATCAGAGCAGAAATGTGTTTACGATTGATCGATTGGCCTTATTTTACTTGACATGTTTTGATGTCTGTTAACGTGTACTTCTATGCATGGAGCTTTTTTGGCGACAGATAGTTCAAGACGAGTATCTGGAGGGATGTGAGCCATTTCTACTTACAAATATCATACTTCGTTGTTTTTGCCAACGTTGGCGAATATCTTTTTTAGGTGGGTTATTCTCCTGGTTTGTTAGTTTCAGTCGTGCAAGCAGGCCAACTTTTGCTGTTATTTTTTTCTGTTGCTTATTCTTTTACTTTTTGATATTCGTAGTCTGGCAGTATTTACTGTGGTACTTTCCTTTTATCATGTATAATTGTCATGTGTACGTCGCCTGGGTTCTATATTTGAAAAGCATTTATTTTTAGTTTAGACTTCCAGCTATTAATGATTTCAAATAACTATTGTTATACTGATTCTTACATCTCTGCTATCGTCATTATAGAAATATTTGTTAGCTACAATATGTCGGTTGATAAGTTTTTGACAGTGCGTACTGACGAGGGAATTGGAAGCAAAAATTTGCTTATTGTCTAGCCGCATTTCTTTTACGAATAAAGTCTTTTCGTCGTTTTCATCTGTATTTTTTCATTATCTTTTAGTTTTTCTTTCTCTCTTTAACCTTCTTTACCATCCCGATTTTCCTATTAATGTGCACTTTTTGTACTTTCGGGGAATCAACGATTGTATGTGGGACTTATAAGTTTTTCGTCTTTTGACGTTTATCATAATCTGAGCTCCTATTTTTTCAATTTTTTATAGTTTCTGAAATTGAACACTACCGGTTCCTGTCTTTTTTTTCTGACGAATAATAGTATATAGTTGTTGCTTTAGTACGCTTTTTTCATTTTTTTTAACAACTTTTTTCGTCAAAATTCTATGTTACAACTCTGATTAATTTTTGTTTGCTAGCGACCTATTTCAGGTCGTATGTATGTTTTAGCACTGTCAAAACTTATAACGCTGTACCGGACAAGAATTTGAATAAATATTCTATGAGAAACTCGTCGGAATTATAGCTTTTAAGGTATTCTAAAGTTTCAGGATGCATATAACTGTTGCATCTTTCATGAATTTCATATTTAGAGGTTTCTTCCAAACCCATTTTTTTTAGAAATTGTTTACTTATTGAGTGAAGTTTTGTATGCCTGTAGCTGAAAGCTGCTCAAAAAATAGTTATTTTTTGATAAAGATTACCCAGTAAAACTCAAAAATAAGGCGGAGAGAAAGAAATAGCCATTTCTGTTTTGTTCCATCTACCTTATTTTTGACTTTTAACGAGTAATCTTTATTGAAATTCAAAACTTCATGAATTTTTTCACCAGGTTTTTTTTTCTTTTGAAAGAAAAGAGTAGTGATATATATAGTAGGGAAAGTATAGCTATTTTTGAAGATCATTTAGAGGAATTTTCTATAAAAACTTAGTTTTAATATTTAAATCATTTGTGTTTATTGTATGTACATTGCTGATTCAATGAACAACCACATTTATGCGATGTATAAAAAATTTGATGTATTATAGATGGGAGTTATTGTCCAAAGTTGATCGCAGTTCACGTCGGTTTCCTTTATTCGCTTTTTAGACTGAATAGATTAACATCATCTAATTTTTAAGAGTTTCCGTTTCTTTCATCTTTGATTGATTTTATCTTCATTTTTTTCTCTCGGCTATTTGCACCAATTCTTCCTAGTTTAGGAAGTTTTTTTTGAACATTTCAGGAAAAGAATAACAAAGGCGCTAACTTTTTTCCTTGGCTGGTCGGTATGTACTATTTCAATCGTTTTGAGTTTTTAAAATTGATTTTTTTTGTTGTTGTTCAAAAGTTGTTTGCATGGATTGTTGGAAGTACTCATTTCCTAGGATTTTTTAAACGCCATATTTTAAGGATACCGAGTGCCAACAAATGACTTTATGAAGCGAATAACAGGAAACTGCTTTTGTAATTAGGCTGTAGACTGTATATTCTATCTCCTGCAATGAAAACTTGTTTAGCTTAATGACTTCTGATTCAGAAAGGCTATTTAAATAAGCGTCAGTCATTTATTTTTGGTGCAAGACCACTATCAAGTAGTTACTATGTTAGGGCTCAAGAAAAACAGTCATTTTAACATCTCAACATTATTTTTTTATGTTTGGTTCAAAAATTTTTTTGTTTGATTTATTTTAATTTGTTTTTTTTTTAATATTTTTTAGCAGGGATTGATTATACATTTATGGAAAAAATGTTGCTATTTCTTTGTTGTTTTAGAGGAAGCTTCCAAACTAATTGATTGTCTTTAATATCGTGTTGTTAATGGGAGCGAAGAAATGTTGTTTAGCTCAAGCAAATTATGGGCCAGTGGGTGAACAGCAGGAGGGAATGCAATCTGTATAACGACAATAAAAGTGGTTGGGTGGTTGAGGAGTAAAGAAACTGTTTTTTTTGTAAACAGTGAGGATGGAAAGATTCATAGAAATTTAAAATACGTTAAAATTGTCTGTAAGGACATCGTTTTTTAATTGTAAGTCTTTTCTGGTTTTTTTTCCAGTTTTTTTTCAATTGCTTATCTTTTTTTGTTGCTGACTGATGTCTGACGAGTTTGCAGAGGTTGATCAGAAGGAAAACAAAAAAGGATTAAAAGATTGATTGAAAATGGGGACATCGGGTGACGGACGTGTTGACAGTTCACTGCATGCTGATCAAACCCAATCTCTGCTGACGCCGCAAGTCAGTCGTCTTCTGTATTTTCCTGTTCCGTTGGACAGCCCAGCCTTTTATGTTAACATTTCTTAAAAAATAGAAATATTTTTTTCTTTAAAAGAAAAAATGAAATAGCATCAGGACTACGCACTAAATAAAAATATTTGTTTACCGATGAGGAATTGAAAAAGTCCTTACAAAAGCTGACAGGCTACAAAGGTTGCATCGCTGCAAAAAAACTTGTTTTGTAGCGAGATCAATCTAGCATAACCAAGTTTTTTTTTGTTCGGGGAAGTTAACATTGTTTCGAACTGACAAGCATTCCTTGATATTAATTTTTTAAATTTTGCAAATGTGTTTTTATTTTTTTCTTCCAAACTAATCTAAGTTGGTCTATTTACTTGCTTCAAAAAATGGAAACAGAACAGTTTTTCGGCGTACTTTATGGATATGTTGCATGATTGTAAGTTACACTTGGAACGCTATTGTTAGCGATTTTTTGGTTGATAGGTAACGATTAACTGATAGCAACAATTTGTTCTTTGTTTTTCTATTGACGTGATTTTGTTTGAGTTTTGGCTTCTGATAGATGGGACGATAAACAGATGGATAGATATTGTTCAAATGAACGAAAATGCTTATTTTTTTTACAAACGACTTCAGCATTTTTCTGTGATTTAACTGTTGACTGCAATTATCACTTTTTTTGAACAATAAATTAAGCTGTAAATTTATTCACTTTACGGATATAGTTAGCCTGTTTTATAAACAGTAATATTAGGTATCGAATTCTTAGTTGCATTCTTTGAAAAATTTTAAACATATTAATGATTTATTCGTGAATCAAAATTTGGTTCTTTCAAATTCAAAAATTATTATGATTGTTTTTTGGCAGAAAAAAAATTTTATTACATCAAAACTTTCGAAGTTGTTTCTTTGCCTATATTAACATACTGAATTTCAGATGGATGTTAGTGTTGAACGAAGTATAGACACAGATAAACGTCAATTTTTCAAAACAGGTATCTTAGTTTGGTTAACACTACAGAATTCAGTACATACATTGCTGCTACGATACTCACGTGCGCGAAATGTTGAAAAATTATTCTTGTCATCTGTTGCTGTATTTTTCACTGAAATATTCAAAATTATTTTATGCTTTATTGGAGTTTTCTACGACGAAGGCGATATTTTCAGGTAAATTAATTTTAAATAAATCAAAAAAAGGATTTATTTTGTTTTCACTGCCTTTATAAGTGCATTTTCAAATTTACAATTATTATCTTTATCAGCGGTATTTTATGAGTTTGGAATTTTTAGACGGCATCAAATAATTTGTTTTTTTTTTTATAAATTACTGTGAAAAACAGGGTGTGTAATAAGTATCGAGAAGTCATTGAGAAATTATCCGTCGAAAATATTTCTTTACGTCGCATTGCATGCGTAGGAAAAAGTGGAGTTAAATTGGAGGTGGGTTAAGATAAACTAGCAGTGGTCATAAATGGATTTCTAATTTTTTGTATAACCCATACTTTAGCTTAAGGAAAAGGTCATTTCTTTTTTTAAGTTAAAGATTGGCTTGACGTTGGATGTTTGGCGGAAGAAGGAGAACGGAAGGGTTCTAAAGCAAATGCTTGAACGAGAGAGATGTGCAAATTCTAGTGGAAAAAAAAAGTTGAGTTGTACTGATCGAAAATACAGCGAACGAGGAAGATTTTTGGAGAAGGCCTCGACGGGAAACTAATGTAACTTCGTAAGATCATCACATCGTGTGCAGAGTATACACTGAGCATTCAAATGCTTTTCTTGCGGTCGATGGGGATTTGATATGTTAAGACATTTAGTTGTGAGATAAGGTGTGCCAATCATTTGGCATATTCAACGATCGTAGTTACTATCTAGCTATGATAAACATCAGTATTTATTAGTCTTCTTTTTGCGGCTTAATTCGTAAACAGTGCCGTTGTTCTGTCAATGACTTTATCTTTAGGCCTTCCTTCGTCCATAGTGATGCAACAGCTGAAACGCACTATCTATGATTTTTTGTTTTTTGGTCACCAAAATTTCTTCTGTTTTGACGAGTCTGTTTGCAGAGCATTTAAACTAACTAGGCGACAAGTCTTTAACAATCCGTGGGATACTGCTAAAGTATGCCTGCCAGCACTGATATATACCGTGCAAAACAACCTTTTCTACCTTGCAGCAACGCATTTAGAAGCGGCGACATTTATGGTTTGACTTTACCTACGTTTTTTATTTAATATGCCTGCATAGTCTTAGCACAAATTCCAGTCACACAAATGATGTTTTTAGGCTGTTAGATGTCAGAAAATACTTTTTAGTTGGGTGGGAAAGCAGGAATCAGAACTTGTTTAGAAAGAATTTTAGAAAACTTATTAATTTTCAGTTTTATTAGCTGCTGTTTTCTCTTCTTAGAATCTGCAGTGTTTTGGATTGGCTGTTTTTGGCATGGTATATCGGCAAAGAATTTTTATTTCTATGAGAAAATTCGCGGTTCAAGTCGCGTTCCTTGAGATGGCTGTGAAGGTTAAGTTATGGAGTCAGGAAAAAAAAAACTAGTGGGATTACCTTGGCGTGGTAATTGATTCTCGTTGTACAGCAAAACAAACAAATTTGTTTTTGCAGAGGACGCCAAATCACTTTCATGGGAGTACCTGTTTTTCTCTTACCTGTATTATTTTTCTAATCTGTCGTTCTTACGGTTTAGGTTTATTCTTCAGCTTTTTTTTTTGTTTTGGAGATGATGGGAAGCAAAATTTTGTAGAATTTTTGAAATCTTTAATAGTAACTTGGAGCATTTTGTTTGGTTAGTTGTCCTGCTATGGATAAATAAAAAATTGCGATTTTTAAGCATTTATTAGTAGCCACAGAAGAAAAAACTTCTTCGTAGGTTATTTAGATTGTTACAGTACTTTTTAGTTGCAGTACGATGTTAATTCAGCGGACTGGTGGTATTACATTGGCCAACTTTTTGAAATTTTGTCTCTGAACCTCAATGAAAAGTGCACTTTACAGTTTTATAGGAAGTAGTGTGAATGCATCGAATTTAAAATTTAGCAGTTTTTTGAAAAAGGTGTAACAAATCTTACAATTTAAATTTGCTTCTTGTTGTAACTAAAGGAAAGCCTGATAAGGAGGAAGAAAAGTATTTTTCTGGTGATAGTATTTCTTGGCTTTAGATTTAAAAGAACTTTTTACGGGTTTGTTAATGAAGTTGAACCATAAGACGGCAGCAGTATTTGGTTGTGCCCTTTAAAAAGTTCTCTTTTTTAAGCAGCATTTGAAATTCTCTCAAAAATAATTTATGTTTCTTTTCTTCTCATGTCGATTTAATTAGTTTCTTGCCTAGAAAAATATGTCTGCCCAGAAAAACCCTCCTCCACCCTCCCTTCTTCTGTTCCTGTGGCTTTATTTTACATCATGAAGCTGCATGATCATACTGTAACACTTTAGGTTCAGGTGCCAAATTAGATGCTTAAATTTTTTTGATACATAAGTGCTCGTTTGCTTTTGCTCTTTTTCTAACGTGGTTTAAAGGCCTAGGTTTACGCTGGGACAAAAAATTTATTGGCGTAGTATATTCAGCTTGCAAATTCAGTCTTACTCTAAAGTTTTTATGCTGAATACTCAAGTTTTTCTACCCTATTAGAAGATAAGCATTTTTCCCAGTAAATTTAGAGAGAATTACAGTTGAAAAAAGTTATTTTACACGTTACGTAAATCATCAAACTACATAACTATGTAGTTGGCATTTTGATAGAAGCCAAAGCTAATTTGGAGAAGATGTTGAATTTTCTTCTTTAAAATACTATTATTTTATACCCAAATTTGCTACATTTTTGACCGCCAGGAAACTTCAGCTGATTAGAACTGATTTCCGCTTTTCGATTGCTGAAATTTGATCAGTATTTAGAGGCGTTTTTCAAGTAGCTGTAACCTGACCGGCAATACAGTACTGAATAAATTATTGCATATTGTATGCGATCTTAACAAAAACCTGTCGGTTGCAGGTGACGTCGCAGTTGAAAATTTTTACTACAGCGATTTTCTCGATGATAATGCTGAAAAGATCGCTAAATCGGATACAGTGGATTGCATTGGCTGCTCTGTTTTTCGGGGTTAGTTTGGTACAAACGCAACAAAGTAGCAACAGTAAAACCGGAATAGTGGAACAGAGGCCGCTTCTTGGTATTTAAGCACTGTTCTTTATTCTTGCTGTGATAAATTTTTGAATTTTGGATCTATTTGGACCCTCCTTTTTGCAGCTATATTTGCAAATTTTGAGACTACGTTCTCTAATTTTTCATGACATTAATAGGGGACTGCAGGTAATTTTTTTCTATTTTTTTCAGTTAGGTGCTATTTAGGTTTTCTCGCTGTTGTTTTCGCTAGCACTTTGTCGGGTTTTGCTGGAGTTTATTTTGAAAAAATACTGAAAGGTACTGCTCCAGTTTCAGTTTGGATGCGAAATATTCAAATGGCAATGTTTGCAATTCCATCGAGTCTAATTGCTGCACTGATTCAGGTGAGCAGTAATATTAAATGCTCTTAAAATGTTTTTTGGTCACTTCTGGTTTTAGTTAAATGTAGATATTTGAGAAGAACATTTATTGAAACCTAGAAAGAAGAGCAGAATTTCTTTTGAAAATCTTTTTCAATTACTGGCGCTTTGTATCCAAGCCACCTAGTGCAAAGAAACCAAAATTGCGTAGCACCTCAAAGCTCGTTATTTTCTTGCTACCTTTTCTAAACTTCTCTTCCAGTTATTGTTTGAGCGTATCGTTGACATTTTCCGTGAAGGCTGGATCTTAGTTTTCAGATGAAAAGCAGTTCAAGTCTGATCTTTTTGGGTACTTTGTTTGAAAAACTGTAGAGGAGGATGAAATGTACATCATTTGAAACTTTGTGATTTATGTATATTGCTTTGGGTAAAAAGCTCAAACAAAGGCTTCATAAAATTTTTTCATAAATGTTTGACTAAAGCTTTAATGAAATCATATGACCGAGGTGAATCATTGATTTTAACTGAGACTTAAGATTTGCCACGCAGATGAAGGTTAATTTTGAAGTAAATGGACATCTACGTTTTGATTCAAGGGTCTGTATGAAACACTTTCATTCATTTTTTTTGAAGCCAAAAAGAGGAAAAAAGGACATCAGTTTACAGTTTGAACATCAATAAGGGTAGGTTAGGAAAAACGGAATTTCTGCTGCTCATGGTTGTTATATATATATCTCTTTGCAGGATTGGGAAGTAATTCGCACTGAAGGAATGCTATACGGCTTTGATGAAGTAGCTTGGATAACATCATTTTGGTACTGTGTTGGAGGGCTTTCTGTTGCTGTCTGTATAAAGTACGCTGATAATATAGCAAAAAATTTTGCTACATCAGTGGCGATAATATTAAGCACAGTCGGTAGTTTTTACTTGTTTGGATTTATACCGACGGTTTTATTTATTTGGGGGGCTGGACTAGTAATTTTAAGTATCTTTTTGTTCTCGTCATCGTCAACCGTTGCTACATGGTTAAACCTTTGAATTTTGATTTTCTTGTGTAAATATCAACAATTATATATTTAGCAGTCAGAAGAATCTTCTTTTTTTTTTGTCTTTTATTTATTGATTATCATTATACTTTTTTCTATCGAATATAGAAAAAAGAATAGCAGAGCTTACTGACTCTTGTTTCTTAGTGGCAATAGCATGTTAAGAATCGATTTGACTATGTTATTGTAATTATTTGTTTAATCAATGAAAAATTAGCGTTTTGTAACTTCACTTAATAATAGCATTGAAACGGCACTTGTATAGCGACGTTACTAAAACCTGAAGGGTATCAAAGAATTTCTGAATAAAAAACAGCAATTTCTTGGTTTTTCTAAAGTGATTAACTGTTTAGGTATCTGCCCCTTTTCTTTCCAAGAAGAAAGATCAAAAAAAAATACAGAAATTTGGCTGATAATTGTTCTTTTCATTATGTTACTCTTAATGGTCTCACCATCTAGTTTACAATTTGTTTTTTTGGTGTGACATAGTGGTTGTAATCCGGCTGTTGCGTATTCGTGGATATTACCCTAAAGTAGTGTTCCTCTTTTCAAACTTTACGAGTTTGCATACATCTTATTTAGAGCTTCATGGCGGATATTCTGTTGTCATTTTACTTGTCTAGTGTGCATTGGTTGGATTTGTTTTTTTATATTTATACAGTAAGGATTTGCTACTATTATATGGGTATACTGCAATTTGATGATGTTTTTTGGGATTCAGAAATAAACTGCAAGAGAGAAAAATCGAAGCCTTTCTGATTTTTGTTTTGCTAGTAGGAAATGAAGTGCAAGTTATGAGTATGGGTTTGTCTTTGAGTATTTGTATCAGATCACGAACTGGAGTCTACTTTTTTTTTCCCGTAGTATATATTTGCTTGTGTGAGAAAGTTTTTGTCGATTGTTGAAATGTTGTTTCAAAAACAATGTGGATAAGAGAGACATCAAAAAGCGTGGAAGAGCCGTTGTAGCGCAACGACCGGGAACTTTCTAAATGCACCTTTGCTGCTGTTGCTGGAGCTGCTGCCGTTTTTCTTGCCAACATTTTTCGAAGTTTAGGTATTTTGAATGCTAGCACAGTAGTCATGGTTAGTGGAATTGGTTTTCATTATCGCATTTTTTCGTTTTTGGTCTGAGGAATGTTTATTGTAAATTCCAGGAACTGGCAAATGACATAAGAGATTTTTCTTATTTTTGGTTTTGTTTCTTTTCTTTTTCTTTTGCTCTATTTTTAACTGTAACAAAATTGAATTTCGCTACCACCATCGTTAAAATGGAAAAATACAATACCATGTGGAGAGCGAAAAGTGTATAATCAATTTACTTTACAAAAACAGACTAAAGGGACCCAAATAGTCGCTGCTGGACCATAACAGGGTCTAAATGTCTTTTAAAAGGGATTAAACTAGAGGCATTAATGGCCTTACGGGGCTATTCAGTGCAGGTATTATAAAATTTGTTTGTAAGAGAAGGCTGCCGAGGATATATGCTGTGACAGAAGGGTTCTATTTGTGAGTTGAGAAACACTGGAAGATTGTCGGATGAGGTTTTGACGTAAGTTTGTTTAGCTAGGTCATCAGTCTATTAAACTGACTTTTTTATTCAAAACAGAAGAATTTTTGCACCTTTTTTTTTGAATAAAACCTAATTGATCCAAGTGGCTGCATTTTGATTATATAATTTATACTGCCGCTGCGTAGATTTTCTGTTGACAACACTCTTTTTTGGCTTTGTGGTCGATTTTGAATAGCCATTTTTCTGACGGTGATAGGTGTTTAACTTCCTTATTATTTTAAAAAACTGTTTTGGAGAGTTTAAAAAAAGCCTTAGCACATATAGATTTAATGTTGCCAAGAATGAGACTTAGTAGTTTATTGGCCTTTGGAAGTCAATAAACAACGACTGATAAAGCTAAACGTTTTACCTACACAAATTCCTGCATTGCACTTCGCTTTCAAAAATGCTGGGTAAAACCGTCAGTTTAATTCATTCCTCGTCTTTTTTTCGCGATCTTTGAACTTTGTAGTTTGCAACAATTTTCATCTATAGTGGTGTTTTTTTTTTTCGTTCCTTGGTTCATTTTTGTAGTGCATTTTTGAAATTCATCCTTAGCTTTTCTTCTTTCCTTTCATTTATTCGACCGTTTTTGATAATATTTGTTTTTTTGAGATGTAATTTGGAACATTCGTCTATGTGGTTGGTGTCCGATCAGACAGTTGTGTGTGTTCTGAACTGGTCTACAGAAAAACAGCAGAATGAGTTGGAGAGCGAATAGATTAAAAGAAATGATAAATATAAATTATATTTTCTCTAAAATTACCTTCTGTGCGACAGGTGTTTTTTTTTTCAGAAGTTATTTTTGAATTTAAAATTATGTTGTTTAGATAAGCTGTTAATTAGATTTTCTTATCCAAGAGACGAATGCAAAAGAACGGAGTGAAACTTAACCTACCAGAGTGTAACGATGATCAGGAAATTTTTTTTGAGGCCAAAACTGATTTAGTAACACCATTAAACTTACATTTGCTTTCGGTTATGTTCAGTCGTGATAGAATGCAGCTTTTGGTTCTGTGGAATGACTTAAACACACGTAGATATTGTACCGAAACATCAGCGGGGACAGAGGTGTGACTATTGTCACTTATAACTTTAGTGTCTATAAGAAAATTTTTGTTGTTCATGTGGTTCGACTTGTTAAAAATATTGCTGCTTTTTTATCGCCATCTGATTTATTGAAGAAACGAAATATTGCTTTTTAAAACTATCATGTTTATTCCCTTCCTTCACTTTTTTTTGCAACAAAAAACGGACTGTATTTTTAATGTGCAGCAAAAAAAAGAGAGGTGAACGCGCAATAATCGTTCTTAGATCAAAGAGGTGGGGAAGGGCGGAGAGAAGGGGGAAAGAAGTAGGAATCGGCAATGGCTCCTAGACGCCCCACTTTCGGTGCAGAGACCATCTAGTGGACAAACTATTTAAGCTTTGTCAGTGGCCAGCGTTTTGCTGGCATTACTGCTCTCCCCCTTAGACGCAGTCAGTTTGCTGTTTCTCTTTTTTTGCGCTATTTGTTTTAGTTAGCTCTTATTGTATAGTTCTTCCCTTTATGATAGTTTGCCCTTTTTTTTCACTTTTTTTTTTTTCAAAAAAAAGGACAAGAAAGTGTTACTTCTTCTGCATCCGTTCACTTGGAGTTGTGAAAGTGGCCAAGTACAAATAAAGTTTTATTATGGCAGCTGTTGAGAAATACCATCAGTTAGCAGGATCCCCAACGGCAACGACCACAGCAACAAACCGCCATCGCCGGCAGCTGCGGCAGCAGCAGAATTTTTATTGATTTTCAACATTTGAAGATTTGCAAATATATTCTTATTTATATATGTTGTGTGCCTATTTTATCCATGCGCATACTTATCCATACTTATGCTCAGTAAGAAGTCAAAAAAATTAAAAAGTTGTAAACATAAATAAGCAGATTTGCAAAAGGTTATTTTATGATTATTGCATTTACATGTCTGTAAAAATTTTTATAACTGTTACATTTCTTTCGAGATTTAAAAAAAAATTCTGTTTGCTTTTGCTCTCATATTCGTTCATTCTGATAATACTCTGTTTATTTATGTCAGCAACACCAATGTTGTTATTATTGGTGCTGTTGTTTCTTGTTGAGAGATGCTCTCTTCATTTCTATCTTCCCGTCTTCCCATCTTTATTTCTTTCTAAGTATAGATTAGGGAATAAAAGTAATAGTTAAAAAGTACACTCACTTCTCTTTGCCTTAACAAATTGAAAATTTAATGAGTACTGCTTTATTTAGGAGGGGGATTTTTTCCGGAGAAGATCAAAATAATTTGGGATTTTGTAGGTTGTCTGTGCTCTTAAGTCGCATTCAAAGTAGACATATACCTGAACGGAAGGTTTGGTAGTTGGAAATCATGTAGTTCACTCTAACTTGAGTTAGCAACAACGGAAGTGAAAAAAGAGGAAATAAGCTTATGCGCGAAGGATTTACATGTAAGAATACTAGCGATTGGTGTTGGAGACTTAATTTCAGCTTTCACTCAAATTTTACTGGAGGGTTTGGGGGAAATAGTCCGAAGCTTTCCGTAAGTTTTGTAATTTCTTTTTTTGGAATGGCTTTTTTTAGGCTTAAAGAAATGCAACTTTGTGTATTCAAAAAGTTTCTGCGGCACTCCTGATGAGTGCATCTTCTGCATGCTAGAACCTGCTGAAACAGCAAAGATGTCTTTATTGTCAAGATTCTCAGTGCTAACATTGAAATAAGAGATGCAAGATTTTTTTAAACCATGATACGGCTATTGGAGAGAAATTTTGTAAAATATTGATGTTCTATTGGTAGAGGTAATACCTTCTACACTTTTAATTTACAAAATGTTGACTTCTCACAAGACAGCTTATCGAGGGTTTCAACAAAAACAAGGTGAATTGTATACGCCTCTTTTGATCAGTTTCAATTAAACAGTTTAAATGACATTTTTAAACACCTTTATGGTAGCGGCTCATCTTTAGCAAAATACAAATATCGATTATCAGGAATTAGGCAATCATCATTACAGCAAAAAAGCGACATTTGACTTTATATTATCATGGGGGCACATAATTTTACGTAATTTTAAGAATTCTCTGAGTCCAGGGAACGGAAATTATTTGTTAACGGCAGAATAACTAATCTAGTACTGGTTATTTTTGATATTTTTTGTGGTACAGTTTTAGACTATTGTTTTCGAGTTTTGTTGCTTATTTCCGTTCTATCATAGAAGTTGTAAAGAATTCTTGCAAAATGTTGATTGTAAAACGTATTAGTTCTGTAAATTGCGAAGGGACCTTGACAATGCGTTTGAATGGGCTAATTTTCCGCAGCTTCAGTTTTCCTGCGACGGATGTGCAATTTTAAAACTTATTAATAATTTCTCTGATCGGAATCTGTTTCAGCCATGTAATCTTTAACTTTATAAACAGTTGATTAAAGATCTCAGTTTGGATATCGGTGGTAAATTCATCAGTAGAGTACATTCTGAGATACTAGTGCCCAAAAATGAACATTGTTTATTTCATATATCGTTTCTTCAAATGTTGTCAAACAAAGTTTTCTGGTACATTTAGATTAAATATTAGTAGTATTTATCATACAGTATGGAGCAATAATTTAATTGAATTCAGTTGAAAATTTGCCAAAAAAATTGAGAAAATTTAGCACCGATTTGTGGACAAATTTCTGGAATTTACTCGGATTCATGTTGGTTGTTTATATTATTAATCCCTAGTTTTTATTCTTTCGGAGTCAAAGCGCTTAAGGGCCTGTTATGTAGAATACATAATTTGGATTGCAGTATGCTTGCTGTTGAGCTTTTTTGCCTTATTTTAATTCAGCTTAATTATCCTGCTTGATTTCGCGACTCACAACCAGCAGATCCTCCGGTCAAAAGTCAACTGTAAATTTGCGATCGGAGCCTAAGATAATTTTTTTGAATCATTACGAAAGGCTCGCGAACTAAATTTATTTAAATGTAGTTTAGGAAACATCGGATTAACTTCCATTCTTGATAAGCATTTAAATGAATCTTAATGTCAAGTGATACTTTGCTTACTTGTGCTTCTGTTCACACGA